AAAGCAACAATTTAAACAAGGTTTTCACAGTGAATAACTGTTCAATATTCTAGTGTTCTAAAAGCCCTGAATGTAGGTAATGCCTTAAAATTTCTCCGGATGACTTTAAAGCTTTAAAGTACTTTAAAAATTGTTATACATAAATCCAAATATCATCCTTATTAATTTCCTATATCTAATGCAGCTTATTAAATAAGCATATTTTCTTGTTTATTTTAAAGTTATTCTTAAACATTTTCTAGAATTATGACCATTTAATCTATATTTACAAAGACTTTACTACTCATCTTTTTATCTACATTTTATACACCATAGAAACATACGTACTTAGTTGCATTAGAAAGGGATAGAATATGATATGTTTTTAACTACATTAGGTGTGTACATGTACCCAACAGTTATTCTATAACTACTTTAAAGAAATCTTACCTATCCTATTTAACGTGTAAGTTTTGATGAAACAAAAAAATATGTATTTACCCATAGAGCATACTGGGAGCAGCTACTGTGCTGCACTGAGATATGTTCACTTGACTTTCGGACAGCAAGAATCATTCTGGATTTCAAGGTAGTTAATGGAATTTTTAGCTTTCATATTGCCTTGTAATCACAATTCACTTGTTATGAAAAGGCTAATATTGCACTCTTTGTTAATGCTTAATAAGTAGTCTGATATTCAAAGTTAAGTTAATTCTGAAGCTTTATGAAAGTCATTGTGAAGCTATTTTGATTGTCAAAATGCCATAACAATTTTCAAATAAAGTGCCTCTGCTAACTTATATTCAAATTATCCACACATGGAGTATAATATATCTGCTAATTTAAATTGAAAAGATAATGTATAAGAAGTTATCCAGGGCCAGGGATTTAGCTCAGTGGTTCCGCCACTTGTCTGGCAAGCATAAGGAGCTGAGTTCAATCCCCGGCACCAAAAAAAAAGAAGTTATAGATATTTTTACAGTAGATGTTTCTTCAAGATACACTGTGTTTTTCATTTTTAGGAAAAGATCATTAAATCTGACTAATAAAAGGGAAAACAGCTATAGTTAGTTAATATAACCATGCACATTATACTCTATTTTTACAAAGGCAGAAAAGTTAATTTCAAATGAAAGAAAATTAATTAAGCATTCAGCCAAATCCATGAAAAAGCACTCCAAACAAAGGAGACACATGTGGGAGTCAAACTACAAAAGTGAAGTGTAAATAACTAAAGCACAGTCATTTTCTCCACACTGGCAATAATGAATAAAATATTGAGAGTTTCGGAATGTTTGTGTATACACAGTTGTATCATTTCATTTTGGTATTTTATTTAGAGTACCAGATAATCTAAATGTTCACATTTTGTAGTATATAGCAATAGTATAAAAACGGTAATGCATTTGAAGTATAGAAAAGTGAACCTTTTCTCATACCAACTATACCCTACGTGGATTGCAATTAAAAAAAAAAACTAACAGCTTTTACAAGTGGTAGAATTACAAAAGGGAAATTTCCAATCAAGGAGAAATCGCCATGGTAAACCCATTGGTTTACCCTCCTCTCTATTAACATAAAGAAATGAAATTCTCTTACCTGTCACCCTGACATCCAAGAAAGAGCTTAAAATGCCAAGACCCTGGATCCCCTCCCTCCTCTTCATGGTTTATAAGCAAAAACCCACAGCACTTCAGGGTCCCTTCTGGTTCCAACAATCTATGATTCAAATGGGGGTAATGGCTCTCTTTTCTTGTTCAGTAGAGTCCTGGGGAGGGAATGATTTTACTGTCCTTTTTCTGTGGGGTCCTGCCATTGTATCTAAAAGGAAATGATTTACAACAGGACCACAAGGCCACAAAATAAAGCCTTTTAGTTTTACAGATCTATTATGTCCTCCACTCTGTTTTATGGATCTGGTCCTATTATACACCAAGAAAAACCCTAAAACAAACTGCCCCCCACTCTTTCCAGTGAAAACATTTACAATTTCATGATTGTCTTTCAAGCAGTTCGGCCCCCTCCATGTTTCTTTTCCCAGAACTCTTCCTTTTTTTTTAAAGTGTAACAAAACATTCAGAGACAAGAAACTGGACTTTTCAAATACAAACTGCTGACAACTGTCAGAAGCACTTCACTGGGACATTACTGACTGTAGCTTCAATGAATTAAGCTTGATTCACTGCGGGTGAATCATTTTCAATGCAGAGCTGTTCAGCAGTAATTGGCCAAGAATCCCTGCTGAGAAAAGCACTTGTCAAATAATGCTTGTTTACAAATATATCTCCAGACAGCAAAAAGTAGCAGTTACTAAACAAATTCAGGGCCCACTACAAAAATTCATAACCGTGGACAGGCCCCTTTACTTATTAAATTCATTAAAAATTTCACTACTTGACACACTTGCTAATACTGTCCTGCTAGCCTCCTGCTAAATACGCCTCTGTGTTATTTTATATGAAAAAGTTTTGTACATTATACTGTAAATTAATGGTTTCTTCTCTATGTAGTCCATATGTAGTTTATGCCTATATAATAGAGATATATATTATCTTGTTAACTGGTTAGAATATAGGCTAAATGGTACATTTTACTCTTGTCTGTAAATACACTGTAAAATTCTAAATGAATAAATGTCTCATCAATCCAAGATTCTAGATAAGGGTTTGGCTTCTGTTCATTCCTGCATATTTTTCAAAGTTAAATTATAATAATGACTAGAATATCAATTAGTAACACAAACTCACATTTACTCCCCCCTTTAAATACTCTTTTCACATAATCAGAGGATGTGTTATACACATGCTTAAGATGCACAAACACAAGAGCTTGCAAAATCAGTAAGCTTCCCTGAAGGTTGCCGAAAGCAAATTATATAAGAGCAAGCTACTAATGAATTTAGGATGCACATCAAATCTTCTGACTCTGACCCTCCAAAGTTCTCTCAGAAACAAACTGAAAAATTCTAACCTGAACTGCTAACTAAGTAGAAATAAACAGGCTGTCATCGTGAATATTTTGATATATTTTGCCGCTCTGTAACAGCACTAGAATGGAGAACTAGAATGGAAATTTCATAAAACCAAAATAAATGTCTGCGACAATACTACGTGGAAATATGGGATACTTGGGCAGGAATTGTGTGAATTAGATGAGGCCATAGATAGTAATAACATTTTATTTCAAAGTATGTGTAACGGTTTTGCCACAAAATGTGCAGCAAACAGCAGGCATGTTTTTTATCCCTGGCCTCTTCGGAGCACTGGGTAGCGAAGGGCACTCATTTTTGGACAGACCCCCTGCAAGCTCCATCTCATCGCGCCCAAGTTTTGGGGCTTGCTCTTCTAGCTGGGCCTGAGGGGGTCACATCCCCTGTGAGCGAGCGACACTCAACTGCACAGGACTCAAGCAAGCTCTTTCCACACCCTGGACGACTGGCGCTATTTCCCGTCTCCTTCTACAGTCTTTGGCCTGTTCTCCCCGCAGGTCCTGCCCTGCTCCCCTCTGCCTCAGACTCCCTGAAATTCGCCTCGTCTGCCCCACAACCAAAGACCCCTGGCTGCTTCAGCTCCACTCCCCTCCCTCCCATCACAGAGAGGAGACTTGAAATTAATACTGAAACAACCAAGGATGGATGATACTGCGATTAAATCTATCAAGTCCTACCAACATGTCCCTTTCAGTGAAATAAGATAGTTAAAAGGGAGCCCAACCTTGTCACAATCCTTTGGGCTTCTAACTGAATGAAGCTAATATAAGGTGTTAATAAAAGGTCCACGATTTCAGAAAACACTTTTTCAACTTGATCTGGGAGAGAAAACTCGAATCACTCGGCTGAAGCCTGGAAGGCTGGTATGTACCTATAGACAGATATGGACAGACAGACACCATGGTTTGATGAGATTACTGAAATACGCGGGAGGATACCCCGAAGGCCGCTCGTGGGTGAGAGTATCCACCTGCGAGCTCCCCGGTCCCAGCTCAGGGCCTTCCCCACACATCCAGGACCCAAGCGCGAGGTCACCCGGACGCACCACGGTGGCGGGGCATCTGCCCGCTCCGCCACCTCCCCCCAGGGGTGGAGGGATTTCTCTAGGTTCCGTGCCTCCCGCGAGGCACCCATTGTCCCAAACCCCAGCTCCACAGTCCAGCCCAGGGGAAAGGGCTTTTCCTTGTAATAACTCGGGGGGGGGGGGGCTCGGTACCGGTCTGCGCCGCCGTCCCGGGCCTCAGAGAGAAGCGCGCTCCGGAGCTGAGCCCTCGGGCAGAGAGGGTTGGGTCGCGCCGTCAGGGCTGAGTCTGCTGGGGAGCGGGGAGCACACAGGTGTCGCTCCGCCCCCAGCCCTATTCCCCCGGAGCGAAGCAGGGGTGCCCTTCGAGGTCCGGAGCTCAGCACTGGGGATGGAGAGGAAGGCTGAGTACTCCGGGACCTAGGACCCGCTGGTGCAGGTCTTAATCCTCCTCACGGCGAACCCAGGCTTGCGTCTGCAACTTCCAACAGCTACACCCGCCTTCCGGCCGGCCGCCACTGACAGCGAGCGCCTAGCTTAAGCAAAGGGCAACCCACCCCACCATGGGGGCGCCTCCTGCTCTTCACCGTCCTCCTCCCCTAGAAATAAATGCTCTTGCCACCCAGTCCAAAATAACAGCTGGTGATGCCCTAAATAACAGCTCCCAACAGAGACCCCCAACCCCAAATGAAAAGCACCAGCCACCTTTGCCAAGCTTCCCATCACCAGCATCCAATTAGGGCTCCTAAAGAGCCAAGGGTCTGCTCCCAAGAAACCCGAAATGTCACTTTCCGGCCGCACCCAGCCTCCCACGAGGGTCCCAGACCCTTCTCCATCCCGGCCGCCAACTTCCCAGCCCCCAACCGGCCTGGGTCCGAACCCAGGTGCCTTGCCCAGCAGCCCGCGGTGATGTCAAAAAAAGCCACCCAAGACAGCGGAGAGGGGGAAAGGCCAGCGACAGTGGCGCCCCGACCCGCACTCCCCGCCGGCCCGCGTCCTGCCCGCACCTACCTTCGCTGCTCGGGCTGGCAAGGAGCGTCCGCAGCGCGGCGCACAGCACCAGGCAAGTCCAGAGCCAGGCCCGGCGGGGCGCGCAGCAATGGCCGGCCGGCGACGAGGGGGTGCGGGTCGGGGTCCGCCGGTGTCCCGCACCCCGGGGCCCGGAGCCCCGCATCTTCGCCTGCTCTCGGCGCTGCCACGCGGCTCAGTCCGCGGCTCCGGCCTCGCGGAAGGGCAAGGAGAACTGGCGAGGTCCTGCGCCCTGGCACACGGCGCCTCCAAAGGGGACGCGGGGTCCGCGGTGGCCGAAGTTTGCTCCGCCTATTGGGGGGCGCGGGTGCAGCTCCAGCTGGGTGCGGAGAGCAGCTGTGCCCGGCTAGGTGGCGGGTGTCCGGACCGTCCCGCGCCGGGTCCTCGCCCCGTCGCACTTTTCGGGAACCGGAGGTTGCAGCGTCCCTGGGGATGGCAAGGAGAGAGGGGAAGGCTCCTCTCCGTCCTTAGCGCCAAGACAGGCGAAGGGAGGAAGTCGAGTCACGGCGGTCCGGAGGAAACGCGCGGCCCAAAGAGGAGGAGAGGCGGGCCGGCCGGGTGCGGGAGAGCAGCGGAGAGCCGAGCCGCGAGGTGGAGTGATGAGCTAGGGTCGGCTGCGAGACGCTGCGGGCCGGGCGAGCGGGCGGCGGGAGGGCGCGGACCCGGCGCTGCGGAGCGGGTGGCCAGGAGGAGCTGCGCCGCCCCGCGTTCCCGCAGCTCTGGGCTTCGGCGTCAGCCCCGCCGGCTCTGGCTCCTCGCCCAGCGCCCGCCCCGCCCCTCCCCTCCCCTCCCCTCCCCCTCCCTCTTCCTCCCCCTCCCCTTCTCCTCCCTCTCCTTTCCCTGGCCCTCCTCCCTTTCCTCTTCCCCTTTCCTCTTCTCCCTTACTCTCCTCCCCCTCCCCTGCCTCTTCCCCCACCCGGTCCTCCTCCCGCTCCCTTTCCTCCTCTTCCTCCCTCTCCCCCTCCAGCCCCCGCCTGGCCGAGCTTGCCCTCCGAACCCTCCGTACGCGCCAGCGCCCCAGTGTGCTCAAGGGGGAGGGGAAGTCACCTGCGGGCTGCTGGCGAGTGTTCCCGGCGCCGCCCCGGACGCCATCCTCCGGAGGACGCTCCCGGGAGGCCTCAGGAAAGCGGAGCCGCCTCGCCGAAGCCCCGGAGAGTCCTGGCCCAGGCAGGTGGCCTGCTGCCCTAGCTCGCGGCTGCCGCCCCGGTGTCACTGCGTGGCCGATTTCTAGACACCTGCCTCGCTGCCTGCGCTGACCTCTCTGTGCTTCCCGCACTCCAGAAGCTGAAGTGGGAAGACCACTCTACGTTTTCTTCGGAAGTCAGTTGTAGGGTACCTAAATAAGGAGGCAGTAGGTCGATTTGAAATTTCAAGGTCCCAAAGAATTTGGTTATTCAGATTTGTTCGGTGCCAGGTACTCGGGGAGGTCATGATTTATTTCAGTTATTTCATTCGTAGAGTGTTTTAACATTTTAGAAAGTATACGATATGCAATCACATGTGGTTAATTCCAGTAAAATAAGCGTGAGTCAAACATTTTCAAGACTTTAAAATTTTTACTTATTTTGATTCTCGTGCTGTAGCACATGGAGAGAAAATAACTAGGAGAAAAACAATTTAAGACGTTAACTTTCTGTGCTTCACCTCTGTATGCCTTCTTTTGCTTTAATATTTTCCCTCAATTTATTCGTTCATCTTTTCAAAGACATACATCTGAAGGACTATTGTAGTATACTTTTTTTAAAAAAGCATTACAAAAAGTGCGAAGTTTAGAAGAAAGATATCTCTTTTAATTTGGGGTCTCATAGCCAAGTCATAATTGGGCTTTCACACCTAGTATCGAGGTGAGCCTGTTTCCCAGCTTTGACATAGGACCTAAGCTCCTGTTTGACATTACAATAGATTTATCACAATCTTTAGCTGATGATATTTGGTATTTTGTTCAGATATTTGCAATAAAGATGAAAGAACAAAGAAGTAGGGATGAAATTGTTTAAAGAGGTGGAAGTTCATCTTTGATTTTACCCCCTCCCCTGAAATATTTTGGCACCAAAAGTCTGAAACCAGCTTCATTCTATTATAATGAACTGCAAATGCATGAAGCAAATTTAGAAAAATAGCAGTGAATCAGTCTTTCACTTTGCCAAAAAGCCTTGCAGTGAGATGGAAAGTTAATATTTATGTTTCTATTTGAAGACCATTCAAAATGTAAGCCTCTATTTTCCCCACTCCCATTTTTACTTGAGTTAATTTCCGAAGAGAACATGAACTAAGCCCAGAAATACATAATACCACTTATATAGGACATAGTTTAGTGGGACTTTGAGCTAGTTGAATTACTTCCACAGACCTCAGTATCCTCACCAATAAGATCAGGATTTGGAAAAAATGGTTTTCAAGCTCCCTTCTCTTTCATAGGCTTTGCATTTCTACATTACTATCCTGCTTGTCAATCTCAAATTATGTAATATTGATTACAAAATATCAGATTTCTTCAGCCTAGAATTTAAAGATTTCTACTACAAAAGGCTTAGACATATTGTCCTTTTTATTCCTGCTAAAATTTTTTAAACTCTATTTTCCTGCCTCTCCATCCCACAGAACTCCTACTGGCCTGAAAATAGTTAGCACCCCTTCTCAAACACACACTGATTTCATCAGAATCCTATCCCAGTGTCCAAGGAGAGTCACACATTTAAACATGATTCTGTATTTTCCCAATAAGGAATGACTGTGGTTCTTTGTATTTTGGAAATATTTGTAGTTTGTGATTTATATTGATCATCACAATTCCAGCATTTTCTGAATGTAAAGTTGGAAGCAATTGTCTAACCAATAGGTATGTGTAGAGGAACAAAGAGACAGAATTTAAACCAATTATTGAAAAGAAAACAGGGGACCTTGGTCACTCCTACCATAATTATGTGACCCCCTATCCAGGACTGATAATTTAAGTAATTGAGAGTATAGAATGCTAAGCACTTTTCTGTTCTCCGTCTTTAGTAGCAGCTATTACCTAATTATTTAATAATATTTTTTACGTATCTCTGAAACAATAGAACTGCTATAAAATGAAGCCCCCGTGACAACAAATTTATTTTTTGGTGAAAAAAGGATCAAAGAAGGCAATATTGATGGTTTGGTTTGTACCTCAATTTCAAAAAGAGAGTTTACATTTAGCAACATTTTGGTTTCTTGCATGTACATACTCTTAGGACACTTACAAAAGACCACGGCATTGCATGAAAACTAGACTTGATTGTTTCATTTATAATTCTCTTCACCTCAAAATGCTGTGAATAAATATTGGTTTGAATGTCCTATTGTTTATGTTTCTCAATGGCTGCTGTGGCCTCAGAAGGTCAAAGTAGTTGGTGTCATCTTCCTAAGCCTCTATTTATATCTGCCGCTAATATGAAGTTTTCATGAAAGATATTCAGAGTAGTCCTGATACTATCCTTGTTAAAGGAGTAATACCATAATTAAGGTCAATGTGTTAACAAGCCTGAGTATATTTTCTCTACATTCAAAATAATACCAATCTTGATGGAAAGACTTACTAGTATTCATTGAAGGTTTTCTCTGTGTAAACTATTGCTTGGTGTTTTTACATTAATTGTATTACTTGATTCTGAGACTTCCGACATGATATACTTGTCCTTACTGCCCTCATGATAGTGATGGGAAAATTTAGGCTCTGAGATTACATGACTTGAACAGTCACTCAGGTGGAAAAACAGCAACTTTAACCCATGGTATTAGCTCCACTGAAAGAATTCTAGTGTATCAACATAAAGAATAAATCTGATCACAAGTTGGTCAGAAAAACATTCCAACTTACAGGCACACTTAAATCCAAACACAATGAAACAATATAGTGTAGGTCTTATACATGAATAGGAGAAAATGAGAAATGATTAAGGTCCATGGTCAGCTTAGCATTAATACAGGTGGCACGAAGTCCATGCGTACACCTTGGTAGGAAATGTAAGCCACAACCTTTACAGTTTTTTTTTCTTAATCACTAGTTTCTATAACTAATTACATTCATTCATTGAGGGACTTTGGTGAAAACAAAATCGAAGCAAAACAAATCGTAAGATACCCTAATGAAACTGTAAAACACCTTCATGACTTTAACTTTTCAGGTCCATGATTTGCTGGAGAGGATAGCTATGTGGACATGTTAAGTATTTTGATCCTGAAGGTAAATGTTGACAGTGTATTTAAGCAATCAGTGCCTCTTGAAGTTCACAACCAAGGTAATGCTACATTTTTATCTTCATGCTGCTTTTTAATGTAGTTAATGTAAAATAAAAAATGTTTAACTTTTGTTAAGTGTTTGTTTTTTAAACATTTTTCCCAGAAGCCTAGATTCCCTTCTGTCATAACTAACATTTCTACCTCTTAATGGGGGTTTAAATTTTATTTATAATTGATTGCTTATCAATTGGCTGTTCAAAATGTAATGAATAATAGCATTTTAATGAATTAGGAGTTTAAATCTATTTGTTATTTTCTTAAAAACAAAGTAATCAGAAACTTCATTTATTAAACACATTTATATAATAATCAGCACTCATTTTTTTCTTTTCTATGACTATGGAGAAAGAAATAATTATTAATAAGGAGTTCTATAGCATAGAACAAGGTGTTCAGATAAATTACAATGAGCCAGGGAACCACAGAGGTAGCTGTTGGTGGTTTATTCTCTGATCACTCCTCCGTCAGTGCGCTAGGATTACAGATGGAGACCACGGCTGCTTTAGTTTATGATGAGCCACACTGAATTGCCAGGAAGTTCTTTGGTGGCTGGTTGCCTCCAGCATCTTGGACTCGTGTGAAACTGTGGACATTGAAATAAATAAGGACTCTTGAGGCTGATGAATGGGGAAGGTCTGTGCAAAACATTCAAAATATTAAAGTGATACGACTATGAAAGTTGAAATTCCCCTCAATTCTAACCCATCTTCTGTACTCTAGAAATACATGCTGCTACTTGAAAAATAAGCTGTAGTAGTTTTCATATAAAGAAGACAGTTTCTTAAACTCAGTATTATATAATGACTTGAAAATTTATAGCCAATACACTGATAACCTAACTAGATATGGTTTGTAAGAGAAAAACTGATAGATTTACTTGATGGCATAAAAAAGGGTTCCTATGTGACCAGGCTTTGGTACCACAGTTGGCTCTGTATAAAACAAGTTTCTGGGTAAAA